ATAAATAATAACTGAAATCTTCCCTATAATATCCATCCAAATGATTACTTTAATTAAAATTAAGCAAAAACTTTTAGATTTATCACAAGCTAAACAAATTTTATGATGATATTATACTTTACATTTATTTATATTAATCAATTCTATTTATTATTATATTACTAAATTCCATAACTTTCTTTTTGAATTTATCTAAGTTTTACAATTATGAAAATAATTAGTTTATTCACAGTATTCTATTCTTTCTTTTGCTTAACTACAAAAAAAGTATTGAATTTTAATTCATAACATGTTTTATATGCTTAACTTGTATTTATATCAGTATATAATGTATATCCTTATATCCATTAATATCTAAACTTATTATATTGATTTCATTTATACAATTTGCATGATCATCATATTATTAACAATTATCTTAACAAGTAGATACAATTATTCTAAAATCATAAATATCATAATAGGAATTACTATAAATTCTTTATATAAATTATAAATAAAGTCTGGATTCTTTAGTAGATTCAAATAATTTTATATATGATACACTTTTAACAACTTCAACATAAGATTAACCAACTTAATTATAAACTGAAATATAAGCTCAAAACATACTATAATTTTTAAATTAATTTATCCATATAATAAATCCTCCTAAAATAATAATACGATTCATAAAATATAATGAAATTACCACTGATAATGATGCAATACTACACTTGTTTTAATCTTCATCTTTACAATAATAATTCATATTATTTATTAGATATTTCTAATCAATTGAAATAATTAATGGATCATCCCAAGAATTTCCATTTTGTTATTGTATATTATGGACATTAATGTATACAAACTCTAAATCAAAAATTATTTTCAATATGCTTAGTTATCTAAGGCAAATTCATTAGAAATTCATGTCCTATATTGACATAAGGTATAAGTGGATCTGGTAAGGCGGTGGCCTCTAAGGGTATTTTGGATTACATAGAAGCAGATTCTAAGAGTGGATTGTATATCTCTAACAGACTTAATAAAAGGGGAAAATAAGTAGTGAGAAAGATCATAACAACACTATTCGAAGGAACCAGTTTGACGTAAAATAGATATGCTGATAGAAATTATCATATTTGAAATCAATTAAATACAGCTTATCAAAGAAGATTTGAGTAAATATATATGTAGATATTTAGAAAAATTTGCTAGGAACAATCAAATGATTTTGTATATGATACTGTGAATTGGTTGAGGAAATCTAAATAGACCTGGAATAAGAATTCATCTTATTGGGAACACAAAATTAATTACTTTCTAGTTAGGATGATTAAAATAAATTTGAGGAGGATAAAAAATAATCTTAAGAAGATTTTTATAAATTATTACACTCTTACAATCCTTTGGTTATCTGGAATTCTCTTTGGAAGAGATAGTAAACATATTTTTGCTGGTCCTATTTATTTAAAAGAAGATAGTTATTAAAAAGCTTAAGAATTGTTGAAGATTCTAAATTAAAATGAAAAAAAAAATTCCAACATCACATAGGCTGGTTAGAGTAGGCAGAATCCATTGTTAATGAAATTATTATGAATTTCTATTATAAGTTATTTAATAGGATTTATGATAAATTCAATAACAACATATCAGCAGAATACAATATGAATAAGAAATACATATATTTTTGAAAGTTTTATTTCCAAATATTTGATAATAAATATGGAATAAAAATTTATTTATCATATAAATTATATGATAAGAGTCTGAATAGTTGATGTTTAATTGTATAAATGAAAAACTATAAAACAATTTTTGTTAACAAATTGATGATAATGCATAAAGTAAATATATTCATGTATGTCATTAGAAAATTTTCAATCTGAGAATCTGGCTTAAAATGATGTAGACTTTTGTAAAAATGATAGAATAATCACAGAAATAGAGAAATTTTATATTCAAAAACCTAAAGGATCGAACTCTATTTGCAATAAGTACTTAGAATTTGAAGGAGATAATTAAAAAATTAACTAAACTAAAGCGAAATATCTATAAGATATTTTGATTGATAAAAAAGACTTAACAAAACAATCAAGTTAATTGATATCAAGTTAAAAAGTGCACAAATTTGAATAAAATATTATTTGATTTAAATGTTTTATTTCAAATAATAAGTATTCAGTGAGTCAAGAAATATAGTATATCAATTAAATGAGTTCTAATACTATCTTAAATCATTTACTTCATATTCCTATATACAT